GGCATATTTTCTTTTATTAAACATTAAGTTCAATGAAAAAGTTTCCAATGCTACATTTTTCTATCAAATGATTTTAAAAATGGAAATTTTTTACTCCCCCCCTCACATGAGAATTCAATCTGACTGCAGCGAATGATGAATTACAATAAAATATATAATCGTATTTGAAATTTAGGAAATTTTTGAATACATCCTGATTGGAAATTTCGGAAAGCGTTGCTTTGAATATATCCCAATATATCCCAATCCGAAATAGATAATTTCAAAGTTTTTACTGGGAAGAGTACCTCAGTTACTTTAATTAAATGAAGTAAAAATTGAATTACAAACCAATTGGCTTTGACAAGTACATCACTGACCGCAAAACTTTTTGAGCTTCTGAGAATCTGAGACTGTTGATATTTCTAACTATAAATTCTGTTAGATCAAATAGTCTAAAAAAGTTTTAAAAAAACGGGTTTTTACATCATTAGATTGATAAAATATAGGGATTAGAAAATATGAGTTTGTTGGAAAGAATCAATTCCTTTTTATTATCTAAAAAAATTTAAAAAGGCAACATTTTTACGTTTGGTGATCTTTAAATTTTTGTTGGATACAAAGAAACCAAGAAACAAACCAATATATATATTGTATTTGTGAATATCAAAATGGAATCAAAGCTTAGAGTATATTCCCATTCCTTTAACCCCAGAATGTATTTAGATTAGAGGAGTCTAATCCAACCTTAAGCTAATATTATGGGTTTATGTATATATATAATATATACCATATTGTATATCAAAATGAGAAAATGACCTGTTTTTATAAGATAATGTCAAGCTAAGACAAAATGAGAAAATGACCTGTTTTTATAAGATAAAGTCAAGCTAAGACAAAATGAGAAAATGACCTGTTTTATCTTTTTTTCTAAAGTTTTCCTTTATTTTATATTTTCATTTTATTCTTCCTGCCATATCTTCTCAAGCTAAATTAAGCAAATATTTTTCTTTTCTTTACTTTAGAAAAAAATCCGGAGTTTTGAAAAATATTTGCAAAATCTATTATAAAGAGAAGAAATCCTCTGGATTGAAAAATAACTTCAAAAATTGAATTTTACTCACAAACTTTTTTATTGAAATAAATTTCCCCACGAAATTCAGATAATGAACTAATTAAATTTGTTTTAATTGTTTGTATATTACGAAGACATGTTTTTTTCTGTTTAATGGTCTCTTATTTTGATGACAAAGTAATAAATAAATTTCTAGTCCAAAAAGTTTATATTCATGGGAATAAAACTATGGCTGGCAAGTTGTTTTCTGTTATTTGTTTCAAAGTCCAATCTTCTTTCAAAAAATAACTTAACCCTTCAAGCTTAATTTTACCAATGAAACTTCTTGCGCCATTATTTTTTAAAAGACTGTAACTGAATATATTCCGCCGCCCCCTCCCATACACCCATTATAAGACACAAATGTTGAAATGCAACATTTGATAGTTTGATAACCAACATTATAGTACAAATTATTATACAATTTATGGTCATTGGATAAAAGCGGAAACATATCACATATTTACAATTACAGACACTAGACAGTCTTCTAGACACTAGACAGTCTTCAGACTGTATAAACTAGCCCGAGAATTTGTTCTTATTTTTAAACTGTACTATTAAGCAATACCAGATACTGTGCTTGGTGGTTAGCGATTCCTTGAATAAAGAGAAAGAGTGGAGTAAATTAAAATAATGAATACTTTTAGTTATGGAGCAGTAGGGTTTGGGACAAGCCCGATTCAGTTGGCAATAAAGTTTAATAAGATAAAATACAATATAAATACGGTGAACTTTTAAATGAGGATTTAGAGTCAATAATTTAAAAGTCATTTTCTAATAAATTTCATAGTTTCGGTGAACAAAACTGGTTGGGTGGTGAAGGGGGGGGGGGAAATATTCATCCCTGGCATATGTCTTGAATATAAGTCTGTTTAAATATGTATAAGCAATGACGTGAGATGTAAATAAAACAGTAACACCCATGATTATGTGAACCAACAGCTGGTGCACACTCTTCAATATTATTGAGAAAATATTTTAAATATACATCAATTTCTGGCACCTTAAAGGAACTGCAAGGGACTTCAATGGACTGCTACCATGATTTAAATTTTTCTTAAACCTTAAATGGTGGTTCAAATTTGAACCGGCAGTAGTAGGTAGTTTAGTGAAGTAATTTATTAAACTCGGTCTCTGAACCAGCCCCGACTGGTTCAACTTCTCATTTGTGTCATCCAGATCAGCTGAAGGAACTGTCTTGTCTAGATCAGCTGAAGAAACTGTCTTGTCCAGATCAGCTGAAGGAACTGTCTTGTCCAGATCAGCTGAAGGAACTGTCTTGTCCAGATCAGCTGAAGGAACTGTCTTGTCTAGATCAGCTGAAGAAACTGTCTTGTCCAGATCAGCTGAAGGAACTGTCTTGTCCAGATCAGCTGAAGGAACTGTCTTGTCCAGATCAGCTGAAGAAACTGTCTTGTCCAGATCAGCTGAAGGAACTGTCTTGTCTAGATCAGCTGAAGGAACTGTCTTGTCCAGATCAGCTGAAGGAACTGTCTTGTCCAGATCAGCTGAAGGAACTGTCTTGTTAGTCTCGAAAATTTCAATTTAAAGCTATAAACAATTTAATATGATGTGGGACACCCTGTACTTTCAAATTATGAAAATCTTCAATTCAATAAAACCCAGACAATAAGTTTTGTCGATGTGTAGAATAGTGAATATAATGATCAAGTTTCTTTAGATGTTTATTTTCAATCTTTTTCATATACACCGTACACTCGTCTAAGTCACATAACTGAAATATACAAAATAGATATATAATTTGATAAATAGTTAAGATATATAATTTGATTAATATGCATACAGAGTCTTTGCACAATTATTTAAAACATAGAGAATACAACCTTAGAGAGTTGGTGGGAACAGTTGATCTGATGGTGACTGTACTGAACTTAATTTATAATGATCGACCGTAAAAGGCCTCCGGACATTAATTAAAAGTAGGATATTTATTATTTACTAACAAAATGTTGATTGTTATTGTTAAACTGAATGATATGTTAAGTGTGTACGTACACTGTGTATTTGTATTAACAAAATTTCAAGACTATAAAAATAATGAAGAGTAGGTGAAGGGCAAAGATGTACCCAAGGCCAAGGGGGGGGGGGGCCCGAAAAAAGCCCCCTGGACCAATTCCTGTGTACGCCCCTAAATTGATGCTCTGTAATGCATCTGTTTCTAAGATCTGTTAGTGTTTGTTTTAACGCTTCTGTTTCTTGATATTTGTTTAGCATTCGGCTCTCTTTAGATTCATTTACTGATACTCCCGGATATATTAGAGACATTTAGAGACATCCGGATAAATCCGGATATATCCGGATACATCCAGATACTTCCGGATACATCCAGCTCCATCCAGATATATTCGGATACATCTAGATATATCAGGATACAACCAAATACATCCGGATACATCCGGATACATCCAGATACATTCAGATACATTCAGATACATTCGGATACATGATACATCAAGATCCATTCAGATATGCATCCAGATACATTCAAATATACCCAGATACATCGAAGATGCATCCAGATACATCCAGGCCCAACCAGATACATTTACATACATCACGATATATCAAGATACATCCGGATACACCCAGATACACCCAGATACATTCAGATACATCCAGATACAACCAGATACTTCCAGGTCCATCCAAATACATCCAAAGAAATCCAAATACATCCAGATACATAAATTGCTGAAAGAGGGTTAAAATCCTCAAAAGATTTTTAAATATATTTTTAAGATTATGATTTTAGATGTTTTATATTGTAGAACTTCCTTGAAATAGAAAATAAGCAAGTGTTTTACATTAACAGATTCAAATTAGAAAGTACATAAGAAAGTATAAAACAGAGGAAGTAAACAAATGTGAAAGTATATTTATAAGAAAGTATTAAACAGAGGAAGTAAACAAATGTGAAAGTATATTTATAAGAAAGTATAAATCAGAGGAAGTAAACAAATGATGAAGTATATAAATAGGAAAGTATAAAACAGTGGAAGTATATTCATAGGAAAGTATTAAACAGAGGAAGTAAACAAATGATGAAGTATATTTATAAGAAGTATAAATCAGCGGAAGTAAACGTAAATGAGGAAGCATATAAATAGGAAAGTATAAAACAGGGGAAGTAAACGTAAATGAGGAAGTATATAAATAGGAAAGTATAAAACAGGGGAAGTAAACGTAAATGAGGAAGTATATAAATAGGAAAGTATAAAACAGGGGAAGTAAACGTAAATGAGGAAGTATCTTTATAAGAAAGTATAAATCAGCGGAAGTAAACGTAAATGAGGAAGTATATAAATAAGAAAGTATAAATCAGAGGAAGTAAACAAATGATGAAGTATATTTATAAGAAAGTATAAATCAGGGGAAGTAAACGTAAATGAGGAAGTATATAAATAGGAAAGTATAAAAAAGGGGAAGTAAAAAAAGAGAAAGTATAAAAGCGACAAAATTGTTTGGCTCCTTCTCCATATAATAGAGTTTCTGAATGCAGCTGAGGAATACATAGATAAATTAATTGATAAATTAAATCTATTCAGGCATCCCTCCCCCCTCCCTTCATGTGCAGCAGTAATTCTAGAATATGCTAAACGTATTCAACTATATATGTTTCACTTTTAGCATAACATAATTTGAGGTTAAAGTGAATGTTTTGGACAGTATTGATTTCCTGTACAATTGGTAATTTGAAGTGTAAAAAATAGTAATAGAATAAGTACATATCTAGTAGTATAGTTTAGAACTTATTGTTTACTGTACAGTGTAGATCGAGTATACTGTACAGTATATATTCAGGAGTACAGTGTAGATCGAGTACTATACAGTATATATTCAGGGGTACAGTACACATCGAGTATACTGAACAGTTCATATTCAGGAGTACAGTGTAGAGTTTAGCTGCTACTTCAACGTGATGTGGAAAGAACCCCGTCTTCATATTCCAGAACAGCTTCTAGAGGTAGGTGTAGGGTAGGACTGAGAAATAGGACAAGAATACAAATAATTGATAGAAAAAAACAAGAACTATTGGACAAGAAAACAAGAATTAAAAGACAAGAAGACAGGAAACTGGAACCAGAGACAAAGAGAATAGAATATATAGAGAGGAATTAAAAGAATCTCTCGGTATGAATTTTTTCAGTCCCTTTCAGCCTGAAAGGGAGTTCAAAGTGCACAAATCATGTAAATGTTCACAAATTATTACATTAATACAGTATGTTCCCTAGACTATCCATTTCAATTTCGAATTTTTTAAACTGTTAAATAAACTTTATAATGAATTAGGTGAATAAAAACATCATTTGATTTATAGTTATAACGGAAAATCATCGTTTGTAAAGTGGAAGGCATAGAGTCTATGTGAAATGATCATTGGTCAATTATGAAACCAGCCTATTTCATAATTTGGTTTTCTTTTAACAATAATTTTAGATTTTCTATAAAATGATATTCCAGGGCCCAACAGGTTATATGGCATAAATATGTGAAGTACACCTGCAGTATTGAAACAGTACAACAAAATGGCCGTTTTACACTTTTTTCCATTAAATTCCTCTCTATTCTATTCTCTATGACCAGAGATAGGCATTGTTTTTTTAAACAAGGAAAATTATACCTGGTCGGTGTCGTTCAGGAAAAAATTGAACGATGGATGAACGACTTGGAGTGTTCAGAGAACTGAAAAAACTATCGTTTATTAAAATGAATGGAAAAAACAAATGAATGATTTAAAATCGTTTGGACGAACTTGACAAAATCTAAAAATTTTTTTACTGAACGAACGAATTTCCCAACAAATTTTGGAAAAGCTATCATTGTTTGTACGAAAAAAAAACACGATTTTATTAGAAACCGATTTAACAAAACGAACTATTTTACTGACTGAACGGTTTTACTGAACGATCGTTCTCCAGTGAGAAAACGAAAAAATATATGAAATATGAACGATCATTTTGAGAACGAACAAAATTATTTTTTTTGAAGGATTGAAAACGATGAAAGAACGAAAAGAAAAAAATCTTAACATGCCCATCTCTACCTGGAACAATCATAAAAGAATTAAGAGAAAAGGACAAGTAATAAGGGCAACAATACAAAAAGAGTACAAGAGTACTAGAATTAAGAAGCAAAAAGACATGAACTAATGAAAAAGAAGACACAATTCAAGAACAAGAAGGCAAGGATTAAGTGTTCAAAAGATAAGAGTTAAAGAACGAGAACGCAAGGAATTAGTGACCAAAAGATAAGAGTTAAAGAACAAGAAGGCAAGGATTAAGTGACCAAAAGACAAGAGTTAAAGAACAAGAACTCAAGCAATTAGTGACCAAAAGACAAGTGTTAAATAAGAAGAAGATAAGAATTAAGTGACCAAAAGACAAGAGTTAAATATGAAGAAGAATGCAAGGATAAAGTGACCAAAAGACAAGAGTTAAATAAGAAGAAGACAAGGATTTATTGACCGAAAGACAAGAGTTAAAGAACATGAATGCAGAAATAGATGTTTTGTATTACCAGGAGTTGAATATGAAAAATAGTGATGCAATGTTCCCGGTTAATGTAGAGCTGGTCAACCTACTCTGGCTCCCAAACGTTTATATATACAATCTCAAAACATTCAAGGTAGAATTTTAATTGACATTTTTTTATCGTTAAAGGGACTGTTGTCGTAAATTTAAATGGCCCTCCATTTAAAAAGGGTATTCCCGATTTATAACAGTATCCATTAAAACTTCTGACAAATGATGGTGTACACAATCGTCATTATTACAGCTTAAAGCGTTTTTTCTTCAGCACAAATATAAAAATATAATTTTTAAAAAAAATAATCAGTTTTTAAAGAGAAAAATGAACAAAGTTAACAAGGGAGCGTTTTACATCGAACAATAAATGAAAGTACACTTGAAATTACGTGTATTGTCCCTTTAAACTGTTTTGAAAGTCCATAAAATAATCAGAATTTTGTAGTGTGAATCAAAATGTGAAGGAGAGTTTAGAAGTTCAATTTTAGGTTCTGGAATTCTTGGATTAAAGCAAAAAAATTAATTATTAAAATTTTCCTTAAAAAATATTTACTAAAAGCTAAGTTGCATGCATGCTCTGCAAAATTGTAAAAAGCAACAATAAACAGAAGTAAAAATTTTATGCAAAAGCACTTTACACATTTAATGAACTATATTGAGTTTAAATAGTTCCGTCAAGCGCGAACAGCAGTTTTTTTTAAGTTCATGTAAAATTCTGTTGACGAACGAAAAACTGTAAAGGAACTGAGTTTTAGCCACAAATTCAGATTTTCAAATCGCTATATCTTTGCAACCTGACGATGTTAACCTTTGATATTTCAAACTTTTATTATTTGAACTAAAATAATTCATAGTTTGAAATATCTAAGGTTTCTGACATTGAAATGCAATTAGATATAGGAATTAGAAAATCATAGTTTGTGACAAAAACTCAATTCCTTTTCAAATTCAAACTCAAGAAATAATTCCCATTAAAAAATTAATATAGAAGTAAAAAGAACGTACGGAAGTTTTTTTTAATTACAAAAAATTTCGTTAGATTTTACGGTTTAAATTGCATAACGGCCGTGAACTTTTTCTTTTGCTAACTTGTGATATATCAGAGTACAATTAACGACTTTAATTGGTTTTACTACCGTTAACGGCACTTCCAAATCGAGATCGTTACCGAACTGCAGTTCAGTACTTTGTTAAAACGAACGGCTACTTGTCTGTCCATTCGGTTGATTTTTCTAACCGTTATAGAACGGATTGAAAAAAAAGATGTAGGGTAAAAGAAAAATTTCTAAGAGAATATCATTTTTATTGTGTTGTTAAATTTTCTTTTTCAAGAAAATCATTAAATTTTCTTCTGTCATCAATTGAAAGGTCTAAACTCAAAGCTCAACTTAAAAATGTATTATTGTTTACTTTAAACAGGAAAATGTCCACCATAATATCTTTGATATAAAACTGAAGTTGTCTAGGAAGTAAAGTCAGTTGACCCCTATACTAATAAATGATACGCAGAAAACTGCAAATTGAATTAAAAAGTGTTCAGCTCTTAATTCCATTGTTCTACCGATAAAACCTTGTTGCCTGGTTTACATGTTTTCTTGGACTGAAAAGGGTATAATGAAGTAATTAGATTTTGTTGTGTATACACATATATATATAATATATATACTTAGCAATCAAGATTGATCACGCACTGTCCAACCTTTCACTCAATGTGTGTAATCAACCACACGACGTGTAGAGAAGTATATCTACAGTTTGTAATTGTACAATATACAATGCAAGTACATAAAAGAGAAAACCTACGAATTTAATATTCATTACTTGGTTAATTTCTCATTTTGGTAATTTTCTAGAGATACTAGTTATGCAGAAACTTTTACTTTTTATGGCACAACAGTACAGGAGAAAACCATACAGTACACCAGAAGGCCATCAGTACAACAGAATTTAATATTAGTACAACAGAATTCAATACAGTACAGCAGAAGTCAATACAGTACAGCAGAAGTCAATACAGTGCAACAGAAGATCAACCAGTAGAGCAGAAAACTATACAGTACAACAGAAGGCCATACGGTACAACATAATTCAATATAAGTACAATCAAAGTCAAAATAGTACAAAAGATGGCCATACGTTACAAAAGAAGTCGTTATGGTACAACAGAAGGCCAGACAGCACAACATAAGTAAATAGAGTGCAACTGAAGTCGATACGGTTCAACATAAGGCCATACGTTACAAAAGTAGTCTTTATGATGCAGCAGAAGACCAGACAGTACAACATAAGTCAATACAGTACAACAGAAGTCGTTACGGTAAAGCTGAAGGCGGAGTGGTTTTGCTAGATTTGTCATAGTTGTTACAGTACAAATTACTATTGACCTGGCTAATTGACAAAATAAAGGGTGTCCAAATTTACAGTTTAAGTAATTAAGTCGACTTTCCATAGTTCATAAGGACACCCTGTTGAAGGTTTTGTTAACAAAAGATACTCTAATAATTTAAAGGATTCATGTTTGTTTGTTTGGTTTTAAACAACCAGCTGGCAGCTTGCCAAATTAAAGCCTGGATCCCCTAATGCACGTTTAATCTCAAAATTAATTAAATAGTTGATCAATTAAAGGGATTGAAAACTTATATTACACAAGGGTGCAGATGTGCCTCTTATATGTTATATACAGGGTGTCCCACGAAGCAAGAAGATTTAAACGTCGTCTTTGATCTTTAGACATTAGTCGTCAACCTTCTTTCAAGTGTATGATTCTTGAATTAAGAACCACAAAATGATCCTAGTCTAATCATGAGATTTCCAAAAAGTGGTCTACCTTTTTTTGTGCTGTCAGTTTCACAGGAGATATTGAGCATTTCGTTCAGATTTTCATTTTATTAAATGAAACAAAAAACGTTGAAATCTGAACAAAATTCTTCATTTCTCCAATAATATTGAGAGCACAACAAATGTAAACCACGTTTTGGAAATGCCAAGATACGGGGTGTTTTAGGAATAGAAACACTTAAATTTTACTTCTAAAATTAACTAACTAATAAATGACGTAAATTATTACAAATATCAAAGACGACCTTTAATTCGTCTTGCTACTGTCATGTTTCGTGGGACACCCTGTATATATGTAGTAAATACCCTACTCCATAAACTGTTCTAGAACCCATAACTATCCAGGCACAATTCAGTTTCACTTAGCTGTTAATACTAAACCCGGACACAATCTCGTCAGCTATCACTGTCTACATGAACATAAGCATGTAATCGATTGATGCTTCTCCTGGTCATAATGCTTCTCTTGATCTTGATGTTTCTCTTGAATTCGATTCTTCTCTTGATCTTGATGCTTATTCTCTTGATCTTGATGCTTCTCTTGATTCCTGCTAGGTATAGCAGATGGATATCTGGCAAACTTCCGCCTCTTCTTAGCTAATTCCGCTAATAAACTATTTTATCTTCATCTTTTCTGATCTCTTCTCATTTATGATGAATTCTAAAACATCTGTTTCTGGTCCCGTAATGTTTCAGATTTGCTGCCAGACCAGAAAACTTATCCGAAAACCATATCTATTTCCTCTTTAAATTTTTCATCTTGGTTTAAGATCTCATTTTTATCTACCTTGAAGCTTTCACAAATAAATTCCTTTCTTCTTTCTTCTGTAGGATAATCTGATTTTCATTCATAAATCCTCGTTTCCATTAATGTTTGATTTTTATCTTCATGTTTCTGCATGCATAAAGCTTGTATACTGCCTGAGAAACCATTTTTTTCTTATTGAAATACTAGCATGGATTTGCTATAGTTCTCGTATTCTACTTTTCTTTCTCCCTGATTCAACACATCAGTATAATTCTTTATCATTTCCGCTAATGCTTTATTTTCATCTTTTTGTTTCTTCACACAAACAGCTTGGATTTTGTCTGATAAACTATGAGTATTTTCTTGGAGTATTCTTTCCTGGCCTTATTCTTCCTCTTCTAGTAGCATGGTTTTTCCGAAGCTCTCGTCTTCCAGTTTTCTTTCTCTGACTTCTGGTATCTGACTCACTTCTTGTTTTAAGCAAGACTCTGTCACTTCTTGTTGCATCTCCATTCCCGTGCTTAGATTTACTGCATGATTCAACCCTTTTAACGTACCATGTTTTACTTACATCAGCGCTAAAAACTCCTTATCACTCATTAAGGCTTCAATCCTAGCTTTGTCCTCATTTCTTACCAACCTATCTATATAAACCAATCTTCTGTACTTTACACCAGATCTTTCTCTTCATCATTATCAAGGTTTCCACTCTATCCAGCCAATCTAGATAGCTTAGTTCTCTTTGTGTCTCGACTTCTTATTCATCATCCGTCCAATTCTTATTCTTTAGAATCAGGATCTTTTCCCAGCTCATCATTATTCCTTATATTTTACCGGGATACTTCTGGTTTCCAGGGAATTCAGTCTTGATTTTTAAACTATCAGAAATATTTCTCAAATCACCATCTGTCCTTTCTGCAGGGTTAACCTCATCCAATCCTAGGGTTTTCAGGCATACTTTGTTAGAATTGTTCTCTGTAAAACTTGTATATAGTGCCACAACTGGTTCCTTGTTCCTGTTTCCTGCTTCTTCAATTTCTACGACACTCTTGCCATTTTCTGTCGTCTCAGAGCTATCTATGTTGCTGTTTCTTGTTTCCCACATTTTATCTGCTCTCTTGCTGTTTTCTATCTCAAAACTATTGATATACATAGTTTTTAACTCATGTCTATCAGGAGATAAATATTAGTCTAGTATTGCTTTTACCTCTCTTTTCTGTTTAAGTTCTTTAGGCATGAAAAACAGGCATGTTTCTTCAACTATTCATCGTTTGGAGCTTGTAACCATAGCTCTTCCTTTGCAGCATAATATTTTCTGGTATTTCCACCACTTTTCTGTTTCCTGTCCAGGTATTCCTGTTTACGATATAACTTCATCTTTTCTGTATGAGCTCTTCTGGTAACCTCCTCCTTTCTCTGTATCTTGTCTAGGTATTCCTGTCCCTGGCTAGCATCATATTTCTGTTGTAAGAATCTTTTCATCATTTCTGCAAAAAACACTCCTGCTTCACATC